GGCGTCGTCTTAACACATCGCCAAGGGCCTCCTAGCTAATCCTTATAAAAGCGGGTAGAAACACAAGAAAAGCTCCGTCGTTTCATATTCTTCAAGGCAGGAAGGGCCAATGGGGCTTGCACGTATGCACATCAGAGTCAGCTGTTTTGCGCCACTTGAAGTGATCAGTCAACAGTCCCGCAAGTTGTGTGCAGTCCCATCTGATCAATCAACGCAAATCCCTAGAAAGATCCTCTGATATTGAGGGCAACATTAGTTTTGCCTACCTGAAGCACCTCGAACTCTCCTAGTTAGTGCTAAACGAAATATCCATCCAGTTTATGACGGAGACTTCGATGTCCGAAGGTGGGAGTGCTGCAACTGATTGCGGACCAAAGAATGCCAAGTGGTCAGATGTATCATCAACAGGTATATATTTTCGTCGAGACTTACATTGTCGAACTAGTTTGGAAGTAGGTAGAGTACCTTGAGTGCAGCTTGGCTGGTCCACCCACTTTCAACAGCGTAGTTCATGGTTTTGAGGATTGCAATACCTCAGCTTGAAATATCGAGGCATCTTCCCTAAGAGAGAAGTGTAGTTTGTTGCCACTTGCAAAATTTCGAATTTTTCATTTACGACTGTTTATGCTGAAGACGTCGCGTACGATATATTCAATGTATATGTATGTATGTACGTATATTTGTTTGGGTGCACCGCCGCCTGAAGATTATTGAGCGATAAATCGCAATGAAAATCCACCAGACGAATATTCGCTTAAATTGTGCACTTAAATGACAACAAAGCGATATGTATGTATGTATGTGTTTACTTGTGTTTGTGTGCGCTGCAGCTGGAGATGAAGGTTCGGCTCCCCTCCTGCCCCGCGAGCGAACAATGCCCTGAATTACTCAGCGTTTTGAGGGATGCACAAAAATGTAGGCCGGGGGATTGTGTGCGCCCGGGAATTCACTACAAAACAATTAAAAACTGCGTGCAACCAACAAGAACATTGGAAAAAGTTTTGTCGTTGTTGTGATTGCTGTTGATTTTGTTGTTAATTTTCATGTTTGCTGGTATTATTGTCGCTGCCGTTGATGCGACACTATGTTGCAACAACGAGGCCATCGGCGAGTTCAACGCGCGAATTACCAGCACATGAGCGGAAAATGCTCGCAACCGAGGATGTGCAACCAAATGTGGCATTTAATTTCAACACACTGCTTTGTTCTGAACATTGCTTTCAAGGCTTCTATGCAGGAAGCCAAATGGGGCACAAAGCGAGCGAACAATGCAATGCGGATGAAAATATTGGAGAACAAGAAAGAACTTTGACTTGATTTGGTTGCGCCTCGCAGCATTCGCAACGCTAGCCAGCGGCCGGTTTAATTGAGCATCAGCGAAAAAGCACTCAGAGATGAAAATCCGCAAGACAAACTTTTGCCGCAACGCTGACACCGAAGAGAAAGTTCGGAAATGTGGGAAAATAATTGCATTAAACAGGGAAAATAAGGCGGAAACAGTTGCGCTTGACAAGAAAACCAGATTAAACTTTTTCTGCGTTTTCACCCGCCCACATACTGCCTCCGGTAATCGGTACTGCGGCGTGTAAATCAATGAAGAGGAAATGGAGAATATGAAGTAAGGTGGGCAAATATTCAGTTATTTCAGCAACCAAAGCATCTATTTAGAATCTTAAGTATGTAGCTGGTAGGCTCATTTGTAAGAGTTCGATTTGCAATAGAAATTTCTTCGGCTTGAAAATTAGTTAGTGTTTTTCACTCTCGGTTTTACTGTTTGCAAAGAAATCATTTTCGAGAAGCCGTCGCACAATTCTACAACATCATTGCGTTGCCTTGAGTTATGTTCAGTTCAATTTTTAATGTGAGCATGTAAGTATGTATGTACCGGCCCTATTACGGTTGTCGACGTCGAAGTCGATGTAATTTTTTGGTCAAAAAATAGTCCTCGCAAGTCCAACGCTAGCTACACTGACCACCGTATTTTTGCGGAAAGGTGTTCCTCGCACAACTACTGTGGTCAGCGAAACGGAGTTGGACTGATGAGGACTATTTTTTGACGAAAAAATGACATCGACATAATAGGGCCGAATATATGATTTCTTAATTTTTGACGGGGATCTGTTGCTATGAGGCGTATGATCTGTCGGTCTTTTGCTTCCCTGCTATCACATCAAAGGATCGGGTCCTAAGTCAGTGCCGTAGCCTGAGCTTCCTTTGCCGCTCGTTTGCACGATGTCAAAATCCCGAATTATTGACTTAGACCCAGACAACGAAAACAAACAATGGCAAACGTATCGGTATCGTTTAGTTTCGCTCATAGAAGGTAACGAAACACAACCGATTCAAATCACTCGGAAACATATTGCGAGCGGTAACTTTACTCTGCTAGCGTTCGCGATAGCTAACGCAAACAAAACAATTGAATGCAGAGAAATAGGGAAACAAACGAAACATAAAGCCAGTGCTCACAAAACAAATTGAAATATTTTTAATTTTGTGTTTATGCGAATAAATTTTTTACATCAAAGATTTGTATAATATATTTTCTGGTAAGTAGAAAAAGTGGAAGGTATTTTTATTTATGGATATGTAAACAAAACTACTAAGTATCTTATTTTTTCTATCGGTTTCCAAATATTTATTTTTTTGCTTTTATCTTTGACTGTACATACTAATATAGCTTAGGAATAACTCATTAAAGACTGTTTAAATTTTTGTAATAGTTAATAAAAAATTCAGTGAACGTAATAAACGATAAAATCAATAAAATGTATGTAATTAATGCGCAAAGACAGAATGACAAATAAATAATGCAAAAATGATTATGTCAGCGATCCATAAATAAGTTTTCATTAAAGCGCTTTATTATATATACATATGTACACATGTATGTTATGTTCATTCATATCGCACACCGTCCTCAAAAGAGCCACAACTCAAAATTTGGCATTTTTGAAATTATGCGGTAAAAATGTACACAGAGCTTTTATTTACCTTTCAGCAAGAGCTGGAGCAAATTTTTTGCTACGAAATAGTTTTTCGCATTTTCTGACGAATGTATTATTTTGAGTTGTGACTCTTTTGAAGACGGTGAGCAAGAGGCGTCAGTGATCATCGCAACTACGACCAAAAATCTTTCGTTAGACCCAGAAAAGTGTTTCATTGCGGTATCTGTTATATATACCTCGCCAGTATTTCAAAGTTTTTGGAAATGTACGTAAAAAAGCAACTGCATATTTATTTAAAAACATTTTTGTTTAAACTACGTACTGATGCGTGGGATTTCCAACCATCTCCAACTAGGAATCTATTCTTATTAATTTTGCTTATCAACATTTTAGGTTCATTTAAACGGAGCAATCAAATAGAAACTGTCGTAGTGCCTGTTTCATTGCGGTTTTATTTACATACAAATTTAAACCTTTGCTACATTCTATTTACCTGTTGTGAAATTTAAGCAGGCGCATTCAATGGGAGCTTTCCGAAGTCATAACTTTGTAGATATAAATATGTATGTACATATGTACATATGTGTACAGATAAGAATGTACATACATACATATATATGCACGCACATATTTGTATGCATAAATTGTGAAATATTTGTTTACAAACACAAAATATTCATTTTAAAGAGAGACATACCACTGCAAAATCTTTTCCAAGATGTTTTTTTTTTTTGCTTTTGCAAATTTAAATTAATTATCTAAGCATTTCATCACTCAATGCTATACGAGTACAAAGCTCTCAGCGTAATCAATTACATATGAGTCGAAAAAAGTATCTAATTCAAATGCAATTGTTTTGTTATAAATAGATGTGGGGGACAAACAGCGTCAAAACGCAGTTAAACTCTCAGTTGAGGGCGGTACATTGTACGAGTAGGTGGATTATATAAACGACGGTGAATACTAAGCGAATTACATACATACATACATATATTAGTGATAGTGCCAAAAGCGATCGCAATGCCTTCAAGTGATAAACGCAGCGAGAAATCGAAATCAAGCGCAGTGGCTGCAAATGGAGCAGCGCCGCCACGCATCGAAATTCCCAAATGGTTGACGGCGGAACTATTTGAGCAACTGCTAAGAGAATCAGTTGCAAACTACCAAAGGATCACACAGTTCGAAGCAAAGCCCGCCTTGGCTGCAGGTGAAAACTATGCTACCATAATGTTACGTGTCAACATAGAAGCTGAACTAAAAGGTCTGTAAAAAAAAAATTAAAAAATGAATGAATGAAAATAATGATAAAATACAATATTGCCCAGCCCTGAGGGCGATGACATTTCTCAAGTAAAAGTAAACAAGGCCGAAGAGGAAAGAAACTGGTAAAACCGTAATATTACTTAAAATAAAATTTTTCGATAGGAAATGTGGTTTAATTATATTAAATTGAAAAATATATGTATATGATTTATGAAAAGAAATTATAAAGAAAATCATAAATAACTTAATAGTAAAACCAAATATTTGTAAAGTAAGCTTTCTAAATATGAACCAAATCGGACTATAAATACGGGGTTTTAAAATAACTCGACTCCTGCGCCACCTATCGGATTTACTCATATTTTTGATTACATTGCCATCGAGCTCTGAGCCAACTGTGAAGTTTCAAGTCTCTAGGTTATCGGAAAGTTGGTCAAAAATTGATACATACTTACATACATATGTACATACACTTTTGTGAAAGTATTAGTGGAAGACTAGTGCGGCCGCTTTGGTGTAGCGGGCGCTTCCACTCTGCGGGCCTTGGGTTGAAGCTCTGGTCAAAGCAACATGGCAAAAAAAGATAAAAGAAAGTTTTTTTTTTATTAACGGCGATCGTCCCTCGGCTGGCAATGGCAAACCTCCGAGTGTATTTCTGCCATGAAAAAAACAGCTTCTCATAAAAATACAATCGCCATTCGGAGACGGCGAAAAATTCCGCTGTGTGTGACAACATCAAGTTGCACGCCACAAATCGGAGGAGAAGCTCGGCCAAACACTAACATGTGTGTAAGCGCCAATGTAGAGAGATTAGTAAATTTTAATGCATTTAAAATTTCTGAGGTGTTGTTTACTTTTACATCGACAAAAGCAAAGTAGCGATACATTTGTTCTCGTGAATGGAAGTGGCCACAGTGCATTGCGTTTTTTATCTACATAAATCATAGAAATAGATGTATAGTGTCATACATAGAAAATTTAATCAGACTATAAACGAGAGTATTCCAGGCCGCTGCTACTCTTCGTCGTATTGTAAAAAAAAATGTAAATCGAATATCAATTTATATGTAGATCCTGCTCTTTTTCATTTTTGTAATGTATCTATAAATATATGTGGTCGAAAAAAAATATCACGCAATTCAAAACTATCTCACAGCACGCAATTGAACTTTTAATGAAAAATAGAAAATGCCAACTTGAGAAGGGTTAAAAGTTATTCATCATTTGACATTATAGTCGGTGTTCAAAAGAGAGAAATGTCAAAATCATTGCTATCTTATTTAAAAAGCCTTGAGTAGAACCCATGGTACAATAATTACAGGTATTGTCTTCCCAGAGAATTTTGCTTCACATCGAAATGCGTGCTCCTTTATTTTCATTTTGACGCAGTTCTATGTTGATTCTTTTACTCTTATTTGGCTTTGCTTTTTGTTTTCGCTTAATTTAATTAAAAAAAATTTTTCAAAAAAAAAGAAAAAACTTTTGAAATGAAGTGAGCCATAAAAATAATGAATATTACTAAGCAATTGTCTTTTTTTTTTTTGCTTTTGCAAATTAAATAAGTTCTCTGCAATAAGGTTTGTTTAAAAAAATACGTGTACATCTATGGTATATGGGATATCGAAATATCCCCCTTCCCTAGCAGTAAACCGTTTAGTGTGGGCAACAATGATGTTTTTCAAATAAGGTAGATCGGAATATGCGCTCTCGTCCTTCCCAGACCTGTAATTATTGTACCATGGGGAACAGACGAATGTACATTAGGGTGCTTTATAGGGCTCTCACCAAAATATTTCGACTCAAATCGATTTAATTAGTCAACTGCGTTAAAATTTGTATATTCAACTTCGATGTTTTTATCATGTTCAACTTCTACAAATTTAAAATAATGCATGGAGGGGGGTGGGGCATTCTTATGTGTCAACCGCATTTGTATTTGTGTACACATTTAATTTTACTTTGCAGATGATACGACCAAATCGTTGTCATACATGATGAAGATCCCGCAAGAAAACGAAATCTTTAAGGAAATGATGCGAAACCATAATATTTTTGAAATCGAATACAGGATGTATCACGAAGTCGTTCCCGAGTTCGAACAGTTGTACCGAGATGTTGGCATCGAGAGGAGTTTTTCAGCGAAATGCTACGACATCGAGACCCCTTCGGAATTTGGCGTAATTCTACTTGAAGATCTACGACCATTCGGCTACAAGAACGCCAATCGATTGGAGGGACTTGACTTGGAGCACACAAAGGCTGTGCTTGAGCGCTTGGCACAGTGGCATGCAGCTTCTGCCATGCGTGTAGAGACGAGGGGCTTGTATCCAGAGCTGTTTATTAAAGGCATGTTCACCGAATCTCAGCGCAAGGTATTTGACAGTTTCAGTGCCACTATTAAAGCTCCATTTTTGGAGTCTGTAAAGGCCATAGAGGGCGGTGAGGCATATGTTGGTAGCGCGGTAAGTGAACTCTTGGCTTGTTTTGGCGTTGGCTCGCGTTGGCTAACCAGGGTTTTTATTGGAATCATACGTAATGTAGGCAAAAGCGTTCGACATCATGTTGGAAGAACTCTTCATAAAGTCCACTTACGATCCCAGCGAGTTCAATG